TACAGGAAGATCTGGACAGACTTGAACACTAAGTGCTATCTAACAAAATGAAATTCAATGGTGAAAAAAGTAAGGTTCTACATTTAGGCAAGAAAAACCAAATGCACAGGTATAGTATAGGTGGTACCTTACTCAATAGTAGCAACTGTGAGAGGGATCTCAGAGTTCTAGTGGACAATCACTTAGATATGAGCCAGCAGTGTGCTGCAGTTGCCAAAAAAGCCAACACAGTGTTAGGCTACATTAATAGAGGTATAGAATCAAGATCATGTGAAGTGTTAATACCACTTTACAATGCCTTGGTAAGGCCACACTTGGAATACTGCATCCAGTTTTGGTCTCCACGATGTAAAAAAAATGTTGAAACTCTAGAAAGAGTACAGAGAAGAGCAACAAAGATGATTAGGGGACTGGAGGCTAAAACATATAAGGAATGGTTGCTGGAATTGGGTATGTCTAGTTTAATGAAGAGAAGGACGAGTGGGGTGGGGCATGATAGCAGTATTCCAATATCTCAGGGACTGCCACAAAGAAGAGGGAGTCAAGCTATTCTCCAAAGCACTTGAAGGCAGGACAAGAAGCAACGGATAGAATCTAATCAAGGAGAGAAACAACTTAGAACTAAGGAGAAACTTCCTGACAGTTAGAACAATTAACCAGTGGAACAACCTGCCTTTAGAAGCGGTGAATACTCCAACACTAGAAGTTTTTAAGAAGATACTGGACAGCCATTTGTCTGAAATGGTATAGGGTTTCCTGCCTGAGCAGAGGGCTGGACTAGAGGACCTCCAAGGTCCCTTCCAATTTATTATTATTATTATTATTATTATTATTATTATTATTATTATTATTATTGTTGTTGTTGTTGTTATTATTATTATTATTATTATTATTTTCATTGTTGTTGTTGTTGTTATTATTATTATTATCTTCTGAACATTCAAAACAGTCATCCATATCTGGAAGGAAAATCAAGGAATTTGTCATCTAGACCTTCCAAATTATTATAAAATAACTTTACTAATATTATGCATCCTAAAGTAGTGTATTAAAGTTTCCTTACATCTATCAAATTTCTACCCTACCATTTTGATTTGAAATCTTCCCTTCTGGACATGGAACAGTCATAGCAGCAGAATTGACTTCCCTCAATCCCTTTCTTCCATGATCTAGAGAAACAAGGGCCATTGCATTGAGAAAATGGATGAACCTGGTGATAAGTATAAAATGTTTTGAAACTGGAGATATTTAGTTTTGATACATCATCTTATATTGAAGAAATTGTAGGTTCCTTCAAGATTCCACAAATAAGCTGTGATGGGGGCTTCCAGTTTTGTGCAGTAGCTCAGCATCCAAGGGATTGCAGGGCTCTGCACCCTATGGCCAAATTCTTCCTGTTAGGGGACCCTAAAGTCACCCCGGAGAAGCAACGAAGGAGGGGTATCCCATTGACCACATAGAGGTGGTGGTCAATCTGATTGGTCTGGGAAAAGCCCTCCAGAAACCAGCAGGAGAAAGGCTAGCTTTACTCCAGAGTTTAGCCTAAGCTACAAGCAGCTGAAGCCCAAAAGCACTATTTTAAGATGGATCATGAACAACATGCTTGGAACTGGGTAAGAATATTGATTCTCTCTCTTCTATTTGATAATTGATTGCCTGGAAAAAAAACCAAGAAGCAAAAATCCTTTGAAAGTGAGAAGGAGGGGGACTCTTGCTCCACCCTTCCACAGACAGAAGTGGCAAATTAAACATTTATGGGGGAAAGGAATATATTGAAATGAAATGAATATAAGATTAAAATCTAGATAAGTTTGGAATTGGTGGAAATAGTTAAGATTGTCTATTGATGAAAACAGAAGAAAGTAATTGCTTGATTTGAAAACTGAAAAATGAACTGGTGCTGACATCTAGTGGTGGATGAACATATACAACTGTAGTCGCTCTGATACAGGAATTGGCAGGAAGCCCAGAAAAAGATAACTTATTTCTTTGACCTTCAATATCTTAACCAAACAGAACAGCTGAAACAAAGAAAAGAAAACTTTTTGAGCTACCTACAAAGTGAGAATCATAAACCTTAGAAAAAAATTGACCTTCCTGGACTATAAATACTTATTGAACTGTGACTCTAAAACTGTTTGCAGAAAAAGGAATACTTTGATTTTTGGCTATCATGGAACGTCAGAGATCTGCAGAAAGAACATATCAAGAAAAAACAAATACTTTCCAGGATGAAATGTATGCTATGTTGCAACTAATTCAAACAACAATGATTTTAAATCACAAGGAAATTAAAAACAACTTTGAAAATATAAATGAACACATCCTCAATTTAACCTCACAACAACCCAAAAACTCTCAGAAAATAAAAACAGAGAGGGATCAGACAACGCAGACAACTGAATATAAAACAAAGGAAAAAGACTTAAAGATGGAACTCATCAATGGAAGGAATTATGACTTAATCCAGGCAGAGAAAAACTTGCAGGAAATATTGGACACGGAAAAGATAATTTATACTTCAGTATTGCAAAATAAGTCTGAGGTCAAGAAAAAAGATTCGACAAAATGGATTGTAGAGATGTCAGGAGAACTATGAGAGCTTGAGAGACAAGAAATGATAAGAGAAATTAAGAGAGAGAGAAAGAAAAAGATTTACAATGAATATGAATGGGAAAAACCTTCCCACAAAAACATTTTACTTGACTTGCCTTTTGCACATACAACAACATCTAAATGCTACAGGACATTTTTTTGGTTCAGCAGAGCATACTGATTAGGAAAGAGGTTTGGCCAAAAAAGGCTAAAGTTAGAATCAAGAAATTAGACAATGGGATTTATCAGATGGAATATCTAAAGATTAACCACTTGTTTGAATATGGTTAAAGAAATAGAAAAATTCTGGATATAAATGAATTTTACTTTAAGAGGGATGGGCCCTTCAAGTAACATAGTATTTTTTTAAGATATGAGAAATATAAAAATGTTGGGGTGGTTAGTATGAGGGAAATGTTTTAGATACTTAAGTGTAATGATATAAATGTATTTTAGCTTAAGAGGGATATATTTTTCAAGCAGTATAGTATCTCCTTCCTTCTCTCTCTCTCTCTCTCTCTCTCTCTCTCTCTCTCTCTCTCTCTCTCTCTCTCTCTGATATGAGAAATGTAAAACTGTTGGGATGGCTTGTATGAGGAAAAATACTTAGATACTTAAGTGTAATTAACAGAAAATCTTAATGGATAAGAATGTCTTGAACATTGAGGAGAAAACAAATCTAAATAAGAACTTTGAAAACAGGATCTATGACTCATTTCCATACTAATAGTAAGAGAAATTCTAGGGAAAAATGCTTTTGGGATATTTTTTATATGTAAACTAGATCAGAAAAATTAGATTTTATCTAACAACCCAAACAATAAAAACAATAACCCCCTATACTCTTGGGAATAACAATCAATTATATAAGTCACTTGATGGGCTCCATCCCACTCTGGGTACCACATGACCATTGGAAAACCAGCTCTTCTGTGTCTTGGGAAAGCCTATAAAAGTAGGGGCCAATTTAATCTTCATGGGGATGAAGTTCCAAAGAGAGGGAGCCATCATAGGCCCTTCTTCTGAGTACTACATCTACTTTCTTAGGCAAGAAGACCTTCAACATTCCCTGTCTCCGGATTCTATTGGGTCATGTGGATGTGACCAGGATGAAATGGTCCTTCAATTAACGTGGTCCCACCCATGTTAGAGTTTAAAGGTAACAACCATTAGCTAGAAGCAAATTGGCAGCCAATGGAGCTCTCACAGGAGAGGTGACACATGTACACACCTGGGTCTGCAGAAAACCATATGTGTGGTTGCATTTTGAACAAATTGTAGCTTCTGGATATTTTTCAAGGGAAGTCCCGTGTAAAGCTGGTGATCTCATAATTGGTGTCCCACATAGTTTATCACTTTCATGAATTTAAATTTAAGGAACATCCTTGCATAAAATGTAGGCTTTATATCTGATGTAAGCCACTCTGTCTTTCAAATGTTAATAGTTGTGTGAGACAAAATAATATCCTTTAGAATATTTTTAAAGTGTTTGTCAAATGACGTATGAAACGTTGGTGTAAGAAATCTTTGGAAGAGCTTAGAGAGTTTAGGTAACTTTTTAAAAAGATTCTTCACTGTTACTCCTTAAAAAAACCTACCTACAATAAATGACCGATACCTGTTGGATCTGTTCATTTTCTATTTTGTGAAAAATTGGTAGAAAAAAGTATCTTGAAAGAAACACTATTTTTATTTCTACAATTTTAACAAAATAAATGATGTGCAAATCTTCCATATGCCACTTTTGTTGGCATTTGCTCATTTTTTAAAAAATAACTGAACCATCAGCTACTTATTAACTCTTCAAAGCAAAATAATTATATCCCAGAGGAATTATTATAGCCCAAAACCTTAAAGGCTGCACATAAGGCTATTGAAATTTAATAACAATCAAGGTCTCTGTTTGGGTATAAAGTAAGCCTTGACCCACAGAGAGTTTGGTACAAGAGGAAATAATGTTTCTGTCATTATTCATTGCTTCAGGTTTCCACCCTCTGTTCTCTTCTGCCAATATATCCTAGAGGAATTACTATAGATCAAAACATTAAAGGCTGCACAGGAGTCTATTGAAATTTAACAACAATCAAGGTGTCTGTTTGGCTATAAAGTAAGGCTTCACCCACAGAAAGTTTGGTTCAAGGGGTAATCATGGCTCTGTCATATTCATTGCTTCAAGTTTCCACCCTCTGTTCTCTTCTGCCAGAATATCTGTTCAAATCCCTGTGATATTCAAGATACAAATTTGTACTCCTATGGATCCTCAAATAGAAAATGATAGATTTTCTGTTTAGATGCATTCTCAAATATAATCCTTAGATCAATCTTTAGAAGAAGTATTGGATTATATAAGCTTTCCTATGGGTAGGATGAAATGCAAAACATTTTCACAATACAAAAGCATCAAGATGTTGTTTCTTATGTTTTTGGTGCACAAGGTAGCTACTCAGAGCTGTCCTGGAAGTGATGCTTTCCTTGTTCCACATGAGTGGTACCAGCCTGGAGACTTCATCATTGGTGAAATGGTATCTCACATAGAATATCACCTTTATGAATTTAAATTTAATGAAAATCCTTCTATAAAACCTTATGAAATACCAACGTAAGAATTTTTTTCTTTATCTAATTTTACCCAAACTTGCAAAAACCCTTTATACGAGTAAAAGCTGTTTGTGCATAAATGTAGCATTTTTAATCTAATCTATACCTTGTTTTTCTTTGAATTATATCTGGTTATCAGAGAAGAAATAAAAATAACATTCTTTTAAAGTCTTTCACATGAAATGTAGAAACTTTAAGATCAAGAATCTCTATCTGAACATTTACTGAGGTAAAGATAAAATTTTAAAGAAGGTTTGGCATTATCTCTCCTCACAAAACATACATACAATAAATGAGTGACACCTTGGTGAATCTGTTCATATACCATAGTTTGAAAAACCCATACAATACAAATATAATAAATTGTAAAAACTCACTACTTGTATTTGTTGTAATACATATTTGTTGGAAGTCATGGAAATGCTTTTAAAAATATATCTGAACTCTGTATGAATTATTAAGCATTTTACAAAAGCTATTGTGTTCCCACTACTGTCAAAAAATGTTTGTTATTTATATAGAAATGATACCACTTGACAAGGATTGTAACATTATTTTTTCAATGGGGGAATTTAACCTATTTGTAGCGTAATAACCAAATTTCATCAGCATGCCCTTGCCTTGGCCTTTGCTGTGAAGGAGATCAATGCAGACGCCCAGATCTTACCTAACATCACTCTTGGGTTCCACATCTATGATAGTTATGACAACCCAAGGATGACCTATCGCACCACTCTGGACCTCCTTTTCAAGTCCCAGGAATTTGTCCCTAACTACAAATGTGATAGCCAGAAGTATCTCATGGCTATCATTGGAGGATTGGATTTCGATACATCATCTTATATAGCTGAAATTACAGGATTCTTCAAGATTCCACAAGTAGGTTGTGAAAGGGTTAAAGAGAAAAATTCTATATTCTGGTGCTTTTGTTATTATTGAATAATTAAGGAGCATTAAAGATAAGTTTCAGATTTGTGTTAAGATGTTCTACCTGGCTTAAGATGTTCTACCTATTTGTTAGCATAATTCTGAAACTACAATGCCAAATACAGGAAATAAGTACCGATAGGCATTCCATACTGAGGGAAGATTTGATCTCTTTGCTTAATCAGTTATATGTGTTTGAAATAATTCCAAGGAATTTATTTCCATATTAATGCTTACCAATATTTCAGGAAAATAATTCCTTCCTTGGATATATTTGATATGAAAACTAAATCAGGACAATTAGATTTGATCTAATTGCTCTACTTTCTACTGCTCCACTTTCTTGCAGCTTACATATGGCTCATTAGCCCAAGAGGAATTTGAGACCAGTAAGCGATCTTCACTTTATTTCATGGTCCCAAAAGAGGACCATCAGTACATTGGGATTATCCAACTGCTTCATCATTTCCGGTGGACATGGATAGGGATATTTTCCGTTGGTAACAACAATGGAGAAAATTTCTTACAGAAAATGCAGTTCTTACTTTCAGAGAATGGAATCTGCTCTTCATTCATACAAAGGCTTTCACAAGTATACTTGGAAAACTTCCCAGAAGTTTATCAAACAATCTCAATTATTTCCTTGAACTGGATAAATAGCAAAGCCAATGCATTTCTTGTCTATGGAGAAGCATTGACAATTATTTGGCTAAGAATTGTCACATTTATGGTAGATCCTGAAAGTAGGGAAATTGCATTATTTAGAAAGGTGTGGATCATGACTGCACAGATTGATTTCATATTATCAGGATTTCAAATCAACTGGGACCTCCAGATGTTCCATGGGGCTATTTCCTTTACTCCTCATTCCAGAGCAGTTGTAGGTTTCAAAGAATTTCTTCAGACCATAAATCCACTTTCAGTCTATAGAGATGGGTTTCTGCAGGACGTTTGGGAACAATCATTTGATTGTTCATTTCCAAAACCAGAGTTACAAGGAATTCACAGTAGAAAATGCACTGGGGAGATGAAGCTGGAGAACCTTCCTGCACCTGTATTTGAAATGGAAATGACTGGCCAAAGCTACAGTATCTACAATGCTGTTTATGTTGTGGCTCATGCTTTGCAAACTCTATACAAGTTGAGAGTCAATAGGAAGACTGATACAATGGATAAAGAATTTGATCTTCCAAATCTGCAGTCTTGGCAGGTATTCGCTTTGCATTGGACACTTCTTTTACTTCAATGAGCAGTTTGACATAAAATTATTTTTTGAACCCAGTGTGGAAAGTCTTAGTGTTTTCTGCATGTGGAATCAAGAATGAGAAACAACATAGAAATAAGAAAATAATTCCTGACAATGAGAACAATTAATTAATGAAACAGTTGTCCTTTAGATAATTTGTTTGCTCCATCACTGGAGATTTTTATGAAGAGTTTGGACTTGTCTGAAATGGTATGGGGTCTTCTCCTTAAGCAGGATGTTAACCTAGAAGACTTCCAAGATTCCTTCCAATTCTCTTATACTGTACAGTGCTGTATAAAATTGATAAAGAAAATGGGCTTCTATTGTTATTCTGTTTTTTTTGTTTGTAATAGTGTCTACTTCTCATTTATCTAACAAAGAAAGCTTGCGTCACAGATTCTAAAATCTGGCTAAGGGAATTTAGTCACACCAGACTCACAAATGAGGAAAGATTAGATATGATCTATCTTGAATTAATTGTTTAAATATTGGACCTAAAACATAATTGAAGGAAGTTAGATAATTCCAAAAGCCTATTTTTATTCTGCTTCAGTTCATTGTTACCTTTCCTTAAAATAATATCAAATGAATAATGAGTGAACATGTACATTTCCATGAAATATTGATTATCAAATTTCTAAGTATACATATTTAATAATAGTTATTGGAATTGGAAGAATTAGTGAATGTAACTTGAATATGATGCTTTCTTATTTGTTATATTGTTTTCAATTCCCTCTCTTTTTCATTATCTTTCAAGTAGCTCCATTCATTTCTTCATGGCATTTCTTTCAACAATTCAGCTGGGGAGAGAGTCTTCCTGAATGAGAAAGGAGAAGCAACAGGTGGATTTGACATCACCAACTTGATCACTTTTCCAAACAGATCCTTTGAGAGAGTTAGAGTGGGAAAGATGGATTCCAGTAGTCCAAAAGGGAATGAATTATTCATTGATGAAGATGTGATTGTCTGGCACACATCTTTTAACCAGGTCTCGAACTATTGAATCAACCATGCTTTAATCCATTATGATGCCATATTCAACATAGTCTCTTTAGAAACCTACTTTCTTTTTTTCTAATAAACAATGTCACATTCTTTCAAATGTTGTTGATGATCAAGCATTCCTCAAGTTGGAAAAATGAGATTAAAATGTAAAAGCCATGTTTGCATATTTGGTTTGCATTTATGTTTGAAATCACAAGAGTGGCCATGTTTCCATGGGATTGTCACCATGTACAAATATTTACTCATCCTGCCCTTTAAACAGAATCTTTTGTACATCATTCTGATTTCTACTTTTTATTATTGTTGATAAAGTTGATAAATTCAGTATTTTCATGGGAAGTCAAAAATATTTTTCTCCATAAAGGAAAAAATAATACAAATTTTAAAAATATGTCCCCTTTCAAAATGTTTTATGTTTATTACCAGGTTCTCCCAATTTCTAGATGTAATAACCCTTGTTTCACTGGATACTGGAAGAAAGGAATTGAGGGGGAACAATTCTGCTGCTATGACTGTGTTCCATGCCCAGAAGGGAAGATTTCAAATAAAAATGGTAGGTAGGCATTCTACCAATTTTCATTGGACTTAAGAAAACTTTAATAAAACAATTTAGTTCAATAAAATTAAGTGAGTTTCAACTGTATGGAATTACTAAAAAGACAAATTCCTTGATTTTCCTTCCAGATATGGATGACTGTTTTGAATGTTCAGAAGATCATTATTCAAATGAAGAAAAGAATGGATGTATCCTGAAAGCGATGGTGTTTCTAACCTTTGAAGAAACCCTAGGAATTGGTTTAGCTGCAGAAGCTCTTGGTTTCTTCTTCTTGACATTTTGGGTACTTGGAACTTTTATTAAGCACAGGGATACTCCAATTGTCAAAGCAAACAACCGGTCCATCACCTACACCCTGCTTGTCTCTCTTCAGCTATGCTTTCTCTCCTCTTTCTTCTTCCTCAGCCAGCCTGGCAAAGTGACCTGCCTCCTCCGACAATCCACTTTTGGCATCACCTTCTCTGTGGCCATTTCTAGTGTATTGGCTAAAACCATCACTGTGGTTGTGGCTTTCATGGCAACTAAACCAGGATCTCAGATGAGAAGATGGGTGGGGAAAAGATTGGCCTTTTCTATTGCTTTTTCCTGTTCTCTCTTTCAAATATGCATTTGTATGCTTTGGTTGTCAATATCACCCCCATTTCCTGAGTTAGACATGCACTCAGAGTCTCAAGAAATGATTTTACAATGCAATGAGGGGTCAAATTTCTTCTTTTATTGTGTGTTGGGCTACATGGGTGTCTTGGCCATTGCCAGCTTTATTGTAGCTTTTCTTGCCCGTAAATTACCTGACACCTTTAATGAAGCCAAGTTCATCACCTTCAGCATGTTGGCCTTTTGCAGTGTGTGGATCTCCTTCTTTCCAGCCTATCTGAGTACGAAAGGAAAAGCCATGGTAGCTGTGGAGGTCTTCTCCATCTTGTCCTCCAGTGCAGCATTAGTGGGATGCATATTTTTGCCAAAATGCTACATCATAGTTTTCAGGCCTCAGCTAAATCTCAGGGAGCAACTCACAAAGAGAAATTAGTACATCATGTGGTTTTTCTGGCTCAGAGAAATTTCTGAAAAAAGGAATGGAAAGAGTACTCCCTTTAGGAAATATATATAAAGTTATAATAATACCATAGTTTTAAGAACATATATTTAAGAATGGTTTCTTAAAGTTTCCTATTTGGTGGAAACGGCAAAGATTTCGGCTTTTTTGAAGGATCAATCGCAAGAGAAGTATGTTGTGGTATGGAAAAAATGGATAGATTTTATACAATATAAGTTAGATATAAAAAAATATTATTTAGTTTTTTAACAATTGTTCTTCTTTTTTCCTTTTTTTATTCTTTTCCTTTTTAAACATTTATCTATTGTATTCATGTTTTTTTTATATATACATATTATTATTAATCATTTTATAATTTTTCTAATTAATGTATTTAGATTTTTAATTAATGTTAGATTTATTTATGGTTTATATTTTTTTTAAGATTTTTTGATGAAATTTTAACTAAGCCTATATCCAGCTCTGGGAAGGTCGGGGGAGGGAATGGGAGGGTTGGGGAGGTTGGGGGGAAGATTGTTTTGTTTTTGTTTTTGTAAAATGTCAAAATTTAATAAAAATTATCTTTGAAAAAAAAAGAACATATATTTAACACAGTATCATAAAATATCAGTTTTGGATTTTTTAGGGTTCTTTCAAATATAAAATTTATTGAACTTGTGAATCCTATATACTCCATTTTTTAAAAAAGGCTTTCTTTATCCATAAATCTATTTCCATTCAATCAGTTATCAGATATTAATAATATGAGAAATTTAATAAAATGAAATGAAATGTATTCTTGTTTCTGCCTTATCTTTTATTCAAAGTGTTTGCTGCCCAATAAATATAATGAAGTAATTTTATTTACATAGAAGGTAGTTAGAACTAGAGGAAGAGTGAAAAAAGGAATTAGTTTAGAGGCCTTCCATAGTCACAAGTGAAGTAACTCTCCAACTCCCCTTGAATGCTGTTGACCTTTATCTCTTTATGCTGATAATTTAATCAATAAATCAGTTTATTTGAACCTTCCTATGTGCACCTTTTTTTTCTGCCTGACATTAATCTCCATTCTGTTGATACTTTTCCGTGAACAATGGAAAAGATCAGCATGACATCTGACCTAGAAACAGAAGCAGGGACTGACAATGCAACAGTGGATGCTGTACTGCAACCTTTGTGCAGTTTGTGCCCTTTGACAATGCTCCAAATATACAAAAGATGCAGAATTTGGTGCAACCAACCTCCCTGGCATGGCTGCAAGACCTGGTACTACAATCTCTGTGGCGGAGGAGTCACTGTTAGTCTCAAGGGTGCTTTTTCAAAAGACAACTGGATGGGGTTGCTACAAAGAAGAGTGAGTCAGGCTATTCTCTAAAGGACTTGAGGACAGGATAAGAAGGAATAGGTGGAAACTAATCAAAGAGAGAAGCAACCTTGAATTAAAGAGAAATTTCCTGACAGAATAATTAATCAGTGGAACAACTTGCCTCCAGAAGTTGTGAATGCTCCAACACTGGAAGTTTTTAAGAAGAGACTGGACAACCATTTGTCTGAAATGGTATAGGGTTTCCTGTCTGACCAGGGGGTAGGACTAGAATAACTCCATGGTCCCTTTCAACTCTGTTATTCTATTCTATCCTATCACCTTTAAATGTGAGATAAACAAAACCATTTTAAACAAAACCTCTCATCCAAGAAGCTTCATTGGTTTTGGCAGGATGGAGAGGGCTAAGGGGGTGGTAGTTTTAACAGGATGGGGGGGAGGGTTGGAAGGATCAGATTTATTTGCAGTCATCTGGTCTTAGCATTCTCCCTGAGAGCTCTTGGGGCCACCTGTATCAGAGTGCAGATGGGGTGGAATCTTCTCGGAAATGCTGAAAGGAACTACTAGAAATTCAATGGCGACTTTGTATTCATTAGCCATGCTGGCTCAGGAATTCTGGGAGTTGAAGTCCACGAGTCATAAAAGAGCAGGGTTGCCTCCCCCTGGCCTAGTACATTGGATAATGCCTGTCCCAGGCCCATATATTTCCTGATCATATCAAAGATATGCATTTTTTTTCTGCAATTGAAAAGTGTAGAAACTCCAGCTTTATAAGGCAACATATCTAACTCTTCTTTCCCTAGTTTTTCTTGAAACTATGAACCACTTGAGAAACATATGATTGAAATGAAGAAATGATATAACATTTATACATCTGCATTTTCATCTTAGGGGAAAAATGAAGTGGTTGAAGAGTTTGAGTCACTCTAAATGAAACATACTATTTAAAATATTTGTGATTGTTGATCATTTGGTTTTTTCAACCCTTGCAGAGTTTTTTGGGGACAAATCTTTCTAAGTTATCCCCAAAATAAGGTAAATAAGTTATTCTGAATCGTGTAGGTGGTTGGAGATTTTCTCAGAAAAAGAGCTGACATCTGGAGAAATAGAATTGGACAATTAGTGTGACCTAATATTATGTACAAAGGAAAATATTATTTACAAATCCAGGCTGCATGTATGTACAGAATAATATAAAAATACAAAATACAAAATCAAGTCTTAATCTACTAATTGTCCAATTCTATTTCTTCAGATGTTTTCAAAACAGGTTTAGTCTCTGTCATGTATTATGTTATCTAAAAGAAAGATATCGATCAACTATATCAAGGAAATTGCCAGGTTGCCTATAGTTCAGTGGTAATTATGTCTCTTATGAATTACTGGAATCACTCCAATAGGAAGGAAGAAACAATCCACATAAAAAGTTCAAGAGCCACAGGTGGCAGGAAGAGGTACTGCTGATTGTCTGAGCTTCACTTCCACAAATTTGCTTCCTTCTGTCTTCTCTGTCAGAAGTTCACTTTGAATGATAGACCCAGACATTTTCTCCATTTGCAGAGAGTCATGAAGTTACTCCTTCTGGTATTCCTGTTGAACAAAATAGTTACTCTGAGCTGCCCTGCAAGTCATGCTTTCCTTGTTCCACATGACTGGTACCAGCCTGGAGACCTCATCATTGGTGGGATGGTGTCTCAAATTATTTACTTCTTTTCTGAAATTAAATTTAAGGAGCATCCGTCTTTAAAAGGTTATGGTTTACCACTGTAAGGGTTCTTTTTTCTTCCCATGTAGTTTCTAATCTGAATCAGATCCTCCAAAACGTAGATACATAAAAGCTGTTTGAACATAAATGCCACTTTTTGTATGTTATCTAAGTTATTTTGCCTTTGAAATCTATTTGGAGGCTGGAGAAGAAATAATTTCCTTTATATTATGTTAAAGTCTTTCTTGTAAAATGTATGAAACTATGCTGCAAGAAGTCTTTTGAGGAACATTTAGTGAGATTAAAGTATTTTTTAAAAGGTCTACATTATCTATTCATATTCAGTTTTGTGTGAAGTGGATAGAACATAAAGTGGTAGCTTGAAAAAAGCTACTATTTTTATATTGTTATAGTACATTTGTATATTTTAATTCTGTACTAATTATTGAGTGTTTCAGAAAACCTGACATCTATCTACCTCAGTAAGAGAGAAAAATTCTTCTTGTTCATATAGAAATGTTACCACCTTACAAGAATTATATATTTTTTTTCTAATGGGAGTATTTAACCTATTTGCAGGGTAATAACTAAGTTCTACCAGCACATTCTTGCCTTGGCCTTTGCTGTGAAGGAGATCAATGAGGACCTGCAAATCTTACCTAACCTCACTCTTGGGTTCCACATCTATGATAGTTACCACAATCCAAGGATGACCTATCGCACCACTCTGGACCTGCTTTTCAAATCCCAGGAATTTGTCCCTAACTACAAATGTGATAGCCGGAATCATCTCATAGCCATCATTGGAGGATTAGGTTCGGATACATCATCTTATATGGCAGATACTGTAAATGTCTACAAAATTCCACAGGTATTTTAGCAAAGGGATGTGAGAGAAACTTTGCCTTCTTTTCTAATGAAAGTTATATATTAGATGTTCACCATGCCTTTCTGCCAGACTTCAGTGAATTCCACTTTGCTACCCTTCTGTAATTTGATTCCACAATGCAGTGCACTGGCCCAAGCTAATCCAATGTTAAAAAATCAAAATCTTTTATCATGATCATAGATTGGAAAATTAAAATGGAAAACATAAGTTATGGGGGGGTCCTTGGTGCTCTCTGAGCTTGCTTGTTTTCTTGCAGATGATTCATTACCTTAACTAGATAATATCATCAGTGCTTACAGAAACTACATTAATCTTACTTAAGTGGTCAACTGTTGTGTTTTGACCATCACCTGGCAAGAGATGTGCTATGTCTTTATTGGGCTCTGATAATAATAGTTTAGTAGGAAACTGAATTTTTTTTTTTTTTCAGAATTGTTGGATGATTGCTCCTCTATGGTCCTTTTGGGGATCTGTATATATAAAAGCAATAAAGGAGAACACACTTGACCTTTACCATTTCTGCGGAATCTCATGGGTAGTCTTTCACATTTCAGTATTTTATTCAATAAGTCTACTTCTAAGGAACATAGAACATGGCATAATATAGGTGGAATGGACCTTGAAGGTCTTCTAGTCCAACCCCCAGTTCGTACAAGAGACCCTATACCATTGCAGATAAATGATGTCCACTGTCTTTTTGAAAGCCTTCAGTGATGAAGCACCCACATATTTTGAAGGCAAGCTCTTCCATTGGTTGATTGCTCTCACCATTAGGAAATTTCTCCTTAGTTGTAGGTTGCTTCTCTCCTTGGTTGCTTCTAGGTTGCTTTTCTCCAGATTTAGCCATATTCCAGGTGTTCATGAGGATGAACATTCTGGAACGCTATATCAGGATGGTAATTTTGCTTCATAATCCAGTCCACAGATGAGGAAATATTTCATGCTGAGACTGTTATGTCCCGAGCCTTGCAAACGGGCTCGGGGCGTTTGCAGGCAGTCCCGGGCAGGTGCAAGCTGCCCGGGACCAGACAGGCTGTTGCCAGCGCCTGTGCGCATGCACGGGTGCTGATGCGGGA